GTCTTTGTTAGCATCTACCTGTCTGCGTTAGCATCTACCTATTTGCCTTAGCATCTACCATTCTCTGTTAGCATCTACCATTCTCTGTTAGCATTTACCTGTCTGTTAGCATCTTTCTCTCTGTTAGTATCTACCTGTCTGCTTTAGCATCTACCTGTTTGCCTTAGCATCTACCTGTCTGCGTTAGCATCTACCTGTCTCTGTTAGCATCTACCTCTCTGTGGTAGCATCTGCCTTTCTGCCTGAGCATCTTCCTGTCTCTGTTAGCATCTACCTGTTTGCGTTAGCATTTACCTCTCTGTTAGCATCTTCCTGTCTCTGTTAACATCTACCTCTCTGTGGTAGCATCTAACTGTCTGTGGTAGCATCTACCTGTCTCTGTTAGCATTTACCTGTCTGTTAGCATCTTCCTCTCTGTGGTAGTATCTACCTGTCTGTGTTTCCATCTACCTGTCTCTGTTTTAGCATCTACCTGTCTGTTAGCATCTTCCTCTATGTGGTAGTATCTACCTGTCTGTGTTTCCATCTACCTGTTTGCGTTAGAATCTACCTCTCTGTTTACATCTCCCTTTCTGTGTTAGCAACTACCTGTCTGCGTTAGCATTTACCTCTCTGTTAGCATCTTCCTGTCTCTGTTAGCATTTACCTATCTGTTCCATCTTCCTCTCTGTGGTAGCATCTACCTGTCTTTTGTTTACATCTCCCTCTCTGTGGTAGCATCTACCTGTCTTTTGTTTACATCTCCCTGTCTCTGTTAGCGTCTACCTCTCTGTGGTAGCATCTAACTGTCTTTTGTTTACATCTCCCTTTCTGTGTTAGCAACTACCTATCTGCGTTAGCATTTACCTCTCTGTTAGCGTCTACCTCTCTGTTAGCGTCTACCTCTCTGTTAGCATCTACCTGTCTGCGTTAGCATCTACCTGTCTGTTAGCATCTACCTGTCTGTTAGCATCTTCCTCTCTGTGGTAGTATCTACATGTCTGTGTTTCCATCTACCTGTCTGTGTTTTAGCATTTACCTTTCTGTTAGCATCTTCCTCTCTGTGGTAGTATCTACCTGTCTGTGTTTCCATCTACCTGTCTGCGTTAGCATCTACCTCTCTGTGGTAGCATCTAACTGTCTTTTGTTTACATCTACCTGTCTCTGTTGGCATCTGCTTTTCTCTGTTAGCAACTGCCTGTCTCTTTTAGCAACTAACTGTCTGTGTTAGCATCTACCTGTCTCTGTTTTAGCATCTACCTGTCTCTGTTTTAGCATCTTCCTCTCTGTGGTAGTATCTACCTGTCTGTGTTTCCATCTACCTGTTTGCGTTAGAATCTACCTCTCTGTTTACATCTCCCTTTCTGTGTTAGCAACTACCTGTCTGCGTTAGCATTTACCTCTCTGTTAGCATCTTCCTGTCTCTGTTAGCATTTACCTATCTGTTCCATCTTCCTCTCTGTGGTAGCATCTACCTGTCTTTTGTTTACATCTCCCTGTCTCTGTTAGCGTCTACCTCTCTGTTAGCATCAACCTGTCTGCGTTAGCATCTACCTGTTTGCCTTAGCATCTACCTGTCTCTGTTAGCATCTACCTGTCTCTGTTAGCAACTACCTATCTGCGTTAGCATTTACCTCTCTGTTAGCGTCTACCTCTCTGTTAGCGTCTACCTCTCTGTTAGCATCTACCTGTCTGCGTTAGCATCTACCTGTCTGTTAGCATCTACCTGTCTGTTAGCATCTTCCTCTCTGTGGTAGTATCTACATGTCTGTGTTTCCATCTACCTGTCTGTGTTTTAGCATTTACCTTTCTGTTAGCATCTTCCTCTCTGTGGTAGTATCTACCTGTCTGCGTTTCCATCTACCTGTCTGCGTTTCCATCTACCTGTCTGCGTTTCCATCTACCTGTCTGCGTTAGCATCTACCTCTCTGTGGTAGCATCTAACTGTCTTTTGTTTACATCTACCTGTCTCTGTTGGCATCTGCTTTTCTCTGTTAGCAACTGCCTGTCTCTGTTAGCAACTAACTGTCTGTGTTAGCATCTACCTGTCTCTGTGTTAGCATCTACCTGTCTCTGTTTTAGCATCTACCTGTCTCTGTTTTAGCATCTTCCTCTCTGTGTTTCCATCTACCTGTCTGCGTTAGCATTTACCTGTTTGTTAGCATCTTCCTCTCTGTGGTAGTATCTACCTGTCTGTGTTTCCATCTACCTGTCTCTGTTAGCATCTGCATGTCTCTGTTAGCATCTACCTTTTTGCCTTAGCATCTACCTGTCTCTGTTAGCATCTTCCTCTCTGTGGTAGTATCCACTTGTCTGTGTTTCCATCTACCTTTCTGCGTTAGCATCTACCTGTTTCCCTTAGCATCTACCTGTCTCTGTTAGCATCTGCATGTCTCTGGTAGCATTTACCTGTTTGTTAGCATCTTCCTCTCTGTGGTAGTATCTACCTGTCTGTGTTTCCATCTACCTGTCTGCATTAGCATCTACCTGTTTGCCTTAGCATCTACCTGTCTGCGTCAGCATCTACCTGTCTGCGTCAGAATCTACCTGTCTGCGTCAGCATCTACCTGTCTGCGTCAGCATCTACCTGTCTGCGTTAGCATCTACCTGTCTCTGTTAGCATCTACCTGTCTGTGGTAGTATCTACCTTTCTCTGTTAGCATCTACCTGTCTCTGTTAGCATCTACCTGTCTCTGTTAGCATCTTCCTCTATGTGGTAGTATCTATCTATCTGCGTTTCCATCTACCTGTCTTTGTTAGCATCTATGTCTTTGTTAGCATCTACCTGCCTCACTTTTAGCATCTACCTGTCTACGTTAGAATCTACCTCTCTGTTTACATCTCCCTTTCTCTGTTAGCATCTACCTCTCTGTGGTAGCATCTGCCTTTCTGCCTGAGCATCTTCCTGTCTCTGTTAGCATCTACCTGTCCCTGTTAACATCTACCTCTCTGTGGTAGCATCTAACTGTCTATTGTTTACATCTACCTGTCTCTGTTGTCATCTGCTTTTCTCTGTTAGCAACTGCCTGTCTCTTTTAGCAACTAACTGTCTGTGTTAGCATCTACCTGTCTCTGTTAGCATTTACCTGTCTGTTAGCATCTTCCTCTCTGTGGTAGTATATACCTGTCTGTGTTTCCATCTACCTGTCTCTGTTTTAGCATCTACCTGTCTCTGTTCGCATTTACCTGTCTGTTAGCATCTTCCTCTATGTGGTAGTATCTACCTGTCTGTGTTTCCATCTACCTGTCTTTGTTAGCATCTACCTGCCTCACTTTTAGCATCTACCTGTCTATGTTAGAATCTTCCTCTCTGTTTACATCTCCCTTTCTCTGTTAGCATCTACCTCTCTGTGGTAGCATCTGCCTGTCTGTGGTAGCATCTGCCTTTCTGCCTGAGCATCTACCTGTCTATGTTAGAATCTTCCTCTCTGTTTACATCTCCCTTTCTCTGTTAGCATCTGCCTGTCTCTGTTAGCATCTACCTGTCTGCGTTAGAATCTACCTCTCTGTTAGCGTCTACCTGCCTGCGTTAGCATCTACCTGTTTGCCTTAGCATCTACCTGTCTCTGTTAGCATTAACCTGTCTGTTAGCATCTTCCTCTCTGTGGTAGCATCTACCTCTCTGTGTTAGCATCTGCCTGTCTCTGTTAGCATCTACCCGTCTCTGTTAGCATCTACCCGTCTCTGTTAGCATCTACCCGTCTCTGTTAGCATCTACCCATCTCTGTTAGCGTCTACCTGTCTCTGTTAGCGTCTACCTGTCTCTGTTAGCGTCTACCTGTCTCTGTTAGCATTAACCTGTCTGTTAGCATCTTCCTCTCTGTGGAAGCATCTGCCTGTCTCTGTTAGCATCTGCCTGTCTCTGTTAGCATCTGCCTGTCTCTGTTAGCATCTGCCTGTCTCTGTTAGCATTTACCTGTCTGTTAGCATCTTCCTCTCTGTGGTAGTATCTACCTGTCTGTGTTTCCATCTACCTGTCTTTGTTAGCATCTATGTCTTTGTTAGCATCTACCTGCCTCGCTTTTAGCATCTACCTGTCTTTTGTTTACATCTCCTTTTCTGTGTTAGCAACTACCTATCTGCGTTAGCATCTTCCTCTCTGTTAGCATCTTCCTCTCTGTTAGCATCTACCTGTCTGTGTTAGCATCTACCTGTCTCTGTTAGCATTTACCTGTCTGTTAGCATCTTCCTGTCTCTGTTAGCATTTACCTGTCTGTTAGCATCTGCCTCTCTTTTAGCATCTACCTGTCTCTGTTAGCATTTACCTGTCTGTTAGCATCTTCCTGTCTCTGTTAGCATTTACCTGTCTGTTAGCATCTTCCTCTCTGTTAGCATCTACCTGTCTGTGTTAGCATCTACCTGTTTGCCTTAGCATCTACCTGTCTCTGTTAGCATTTACCTGTCTGTTAGCATCTTCCTGTCTCTGTTAGCATTTACCTGTCTGTTAGCATCTGCCTCTCTTTTAGCATCTACCTGTCTCTGTTAGCATTTACCTCTCTGTTAGCATCTTCCTGTGTCTGTTTTAGCATCTTCCTGCCTCAGTGTTAGCATTTACCTGTCTGTTAGCATCTTCCTCTCTGCCGTCTGCGTTCAGAAAATAATAGATAATTTAGAAAAATAAAGTGTAACCTGTAAATATGTTGCTTGCTTACTGTCGTGCGAAGTCAATCCCCCAAATCCCATTCTGAGCCAGGAAAAACTCTGCTTCATAATGGTTGTTTTGTCCAAACCTCAAAATTAATTAAATAATTAAAAGGAAAAGCAGCAAATCTTCACATTTGTGCTGGAACAATTTTCTAAACCATCAAATTGTTGCCAATTAATTTCACTGCCAGTCTATAATCCTGTCAGCAGTACCTGTATAAACTTTTCGAGTTTATATTATAATATTACATATTATTTTATAAACTTTTCATGTTTTGTGTGTAAAAATCTGACTTTGTAAAGTAACTGAAGCTGCCAGATAAATGTTGTGAAGTAAAAGTTTTTGTGCCTAAACGCGAGAAATCATTTTGATCATGTTGGTATAAAGAGACATTCTTTATTCACACTGTAAAGATAAACTACTGAATACGCTAAAAGACAAAGAGTCAAATAGTAAAAAGGAGATTAAAAATATTAACAATAAAAATAAAAGTATAGAATGAAATGAAACAAAATAAATCAGGAAGCTAACTGAAGGTGAATTCACTGCCTTTCATGACATCATACAGGTGATGCAGCTTCAGGAGACTCTTTCCTATGATCTGAAATACAGAAAGCGTTTGGCTCGGTCCGGACAGGTGGAACCAGGAACCAGCCGCTCGCTTCACTCCCACGTCAGATTCCTCTTCTGGTCGTGGCCTTGACTGATGCCGCAGTAATACACCGCCGAGTCGTTCTGCTGGGAGCCGCGCAGCAGCAGCGAACCGTCGGCCGCAGCCGAGACTTTCTCAGGACCGACGCCGGAGCCGTACTTCACGTTGGAGGTGTTGGTGGACCTGATGGTCAGAACCAGCTGAGGACTCTGGCCTGCTGTCTTCCTGTACCAGCTGAGGGTGGAGGCGTTGGAGGCGTTGGAGGCGTCCAGCAGGGGGCACTGCAGGGTGGCGTCCTCCCCGACTCTCACCTGCACGGTGGAGGTTGGCAGGGCGGCGCCGTGGGAGCCTTGAAAACAGTTAAGTGTTGATTTATTAACAGAAGGATCAATACACTTAATATACAAAAGACATTTTATCAATAATAAATAATAACCATCAATAAAAGGAAATTATAGGAGAGAAAGGAATGAAACTGACTTTAACCTCAGCGATGATTATTACGTTTTAAAATCTCTCTTTTCTTATTATCAATTAACCAATTGATTATTTTTTCAGTTAACCGTTTAGTTGTTTAGTCTATAAAATGTCAGAAGAATAAAAATTCCAACGTGACGTCTTCAAATGTCAAAAACATTCAGTTCCTGTTGTTAAACAGTTTGTCTTGTTGTAAAATAAACTGCCTGTCCATCCATCTAAAATACTTCTAATTGTAGATTATGTATTTTAATATATCTGAAAGTAACTGTTTATTAATTGTTTTCTTTATTAATTGATCACTGGTTTAAAAACTGAAAAATGCCCATCAGACATGTTCAGTTGACGTTTATAAGACAAGAAGCGTTTTTACTTCAGAAATAAAATATTTGTTTCCTCTCTAAATTAGAGCTGCAACTAACGACTATTTTCTTTGTCACTTAATCTGTCGATTATTTTCTTGATTTATCGATGTTTGGTTTATAAAATGTCAGAAAATGTTGATCAGTGTTTCCCTCAAACGTCTTCTTTTGTCTACAACCCAAATAAATTCACTTTACTGTCACAGAGGAGCAAAGAAACCAGAAAATATTCAGATTTAAGAAGCTGGAATCAGAAAATTTGGAATTTTATTCTTAAAAAATGACTCAAACCGATTGAGTGATTATCAAAATAGTTGCAGATTAATTTATAAGTTGACAACTAATCAATGAGTGGTTGCAGTTCTACTCTTCTGTTTGTTTTTGTCTCCTCCAGACGTTTGAGCGATGCTGTTTTAATCCTGCAGACAGGAAGCTCTAATTTGAAGGACTTCATCTTAAAATGACAAACCGCCGTTTAGCCTGTCGTCGTTTGACAACCAGATCAGAAACCGGCGAGCGAGCCGAGCTGTGGATTTAAACGTATTATGTAATCAGACATTAATACATGAAATGATTAAATGAGAGACTCACCGCCGAGCGAGAGCAGCAGCAGACACACCAGCAGAGACTCCATCGCCAACTGACGGAGGAAGCCGCCGCCGCCGCCGTTTATCTTAAAACCAGCCGAGCGTCTCGGCTTTCAAAACAACACCTGACACAGAAACGCTGCGAGGCCGGGGACTCCCTCAGGGCGGGAAACTGTGGTCACACTGTCCCGAGTTGGATTCTGGTCTTTGTGTCTCTGACGTGTTCAGATGTTTTATTTTGTCCTCAAAACAAAGATTCAGTTACTGAGACAGAAAACAGACAATCTGACACTTTTCTGTTGATGAACGAATCAATAAATCGACTATGGGCTCTTCAGCCCAAACATAAACGACTTACATCATGTTGTAAAGAAGCTGATGACACAATTATCTATGTAACAGCCAAAACCCCCTGTGCAGCTGCAGAGATATTAACAAGCGAACTCTGACTGTGCCACTGTGTTTTTCCATGAGAAGGAAAAGAAAAGCTTATAATTAGAATAAAGCAAGAGGAAATAGAGGAAGTCAAGGATTTTAAATTCCTAGGTGTCATTTTGGAGCCCAAACTTAAATTTGAGAAACATGTTAAAAAACTAAACTGTAAAGACTAAACTGTTTTAGAATGATTAGACTTTACAAACCCCAACTGTTTATGCATGCCGTGATATTCTCCCATCTTTCTTACTTTTATTACCCTTTCATTTTATTGTATTTTACTAATTTTATATTAATCTGTATTGTAGTCTTTTCAATGTTTTCATGCTCTTATCTTGTTTTTTGTATTATTCTTTACTCTTGTTAAAGCACTTTGTAACTTGTTTTTGAAAAGTGCTCTACAAATAAGGATTATTATTATATTATTATTACTGTCTTACTGTATGGAGCCAGGCTTCAACTGTTAAACCCATCACTATATAAACAAGCACTGAAAACAATGGATCAAAAACCAATGAAATGGCATCATTGTATAATACTGAAAAAGTATAATTTGCTTAGTTATGATTGTTTTATGAAGTTTTCTCTTATCAAATTGATTTTTAAATGTGTGAATAATCTCACTCCAGCTGTACTTTGTCCACATGTGACAAAAACAAATACTAATAGAATCGCCACTTGGGGATCAGGGCGTGGCGGTGCAGTGGTTAGCACTGTTGCCTCACAGCGAGCAAGAAGGTCGCGGGTTCGAACCTTTCTGTGTGGAGTTCGCATGTTCTCCTTCTCTCCGGGTGCTCCGGCTTCCTCCAACCATCCAAACCCATGCGTCTAGATTAATTGGTGTTTCTAAAATTGTCCTTAGGTGTGAGTGCGAGTGGTTGTTTGTCTACGTGTGTACCCAGATGTAAGCTGGGATTGGAACCCTGTACGCGGGGTGACGGTGGGTGGACAATGGGATCAGCAAATGGCAACTGCAAGGTGGCACAGGGCAAAACCACTTTCAGTCAGTAAAAGAGATCCATGGTAGGAATACCCCACCAACAGAAATAAACACACAAACCAATCTGAAAACATTTAATGAGAAGGTGAAACACTCGCTGAAACAAAACCAAATCTGTGATCACACTTATAAAAGGACATGTCCATACGGATATAGAGATATATGTGTATAATGTGACTATTTATTTTGTTTTGTGTTTCCTGACTGGTGTGTTTCTGTTGTTTTGTTGTTGTTTGATTCTGTTTTCTTGGTAGTGGTGATGCATGTAGCCTAAAATTAGCTTCAGCTAGAAACCCTGTATGCAACACATCTGTTCAAGTAACTGTTTGCATTGTCCCCGACAAATGAACAAATAAATAAAAAATAATCAGAGGCCCGTTTCAGAAAGCCGGTGTGTAAACCTGAACTCTGAGTTTTCGGTTTCAGAACAGCTGATCAGAATAAGTTCAGTCAACTCTGAGTATGTTGCGCCTGATGGAAGCGCGTGCGTGGGAATGAAAAGAAGCCTCATCAATGGAGCTCCGATACTACGATTCACCATGGCAACGGGTAAATAAAGGCGGAGCCTCCATTTTAATCGGGTGGAGCTAGAAATATGAACGCGTGCCGACGCGGACCGTGATTGGCTAAAGATAGAGAAGGATCGATACGTGAACAATATTACATTTTATACAGCGCTGCTCGTTCATCATTTACCAGACTGGAATTCTCCTGCAGCTTCATGTTAAACAGCTACAGGCCTGTTTGTTCAGCTGGAACCTGACGGGACTTAATAATAACTTACGATGAAAATATTAACGGAACAGATCAGACACAGTTTAGGCTCCTCATGGATCTGTGATTGGAAAGACACAGTCCGACTCAGCAGTTCTAATAATGATTTTTTTGCTGTGGAAAATGTGTCCAGGTTCAAACTGACTGAAGTTTTAGACGTCTGTGTTACATTAATACAATCTGGCTCATTTTGTATTTTATTTTAAACTACATGTATTAGTTTCAGCTGCACCGCAGTCATCCTCACTCAGAAATATTCACGTCATATCCATGGACAGTCTGAATGAGGAAATGTCAGACGGCCACTTCAGGCTCCGCAGGAGGAGTCAGAGAGAAACTCAGCGTTAGTTGAAGTGAACCTCCTCCTGAGCAGGTCAGCTTCACAGCATCAGGGGTTACAGACCCAGAGTTTATCTGATCTCGGGCTCAACTTACGTGTGTGTGACGGACCCTTTCTTTGCACATGTTTACAGATAAAATGCCACATTAATTAATGATAAAAGATCTTTTTAAAAACCCTCTGTTAACGTCTGGCTGTAAGAAACAGAGTGCAGTTAACTTAGAGAAAATGGCTGTTAAAGTTTAGCTAACACATAAACGCGGCTGTTTGTCACATGAACATCTGATATATGGACCAGCTAACACTGATGTGTAGAAAACAAACTTTCAGTTGATTTTAAAAAGTTTTACATTTAAAATACTGACAAAGATGAAATTTACTGCAGTTAAGTGAATAATATTTATATATATTATTCAAGGTTGTTTTGTATATTTAGTCTGGTAATAATAAATGCAAATAATCAAAAAATTGACAGATTGAAGCAAAATCATCGTCTCGCCTTAATCAACCATCAATTCTCGTCATTATCAGCTGATCTGATCTTGATTCATCTTTTATCTGAAAAAGTTTGCCATTTTTTTGTGGGCAAATTAATTTTACTGATCAATCGATTATTAAATCAGTTGCCAGTTTATTTTCTGTTGATCTGCTTGAATAGTTTCAGCTCTAAATATATTTTAATTTCATACATTTTTCTAGTTGTTTGCTTTTGTGGTCGGTGTGTCTGCACGCCGAGGGTTTCAGCAGGTTAAACGTCTGACGCAGCTCAAACACCAACACGCTCGCCAAACAGCAGATAGTTTACTGCAGAGTGAACCCAAAATCACAAGAAACAGCTATGTTGGCGAGTGCGGCGGGTCTGGACCCTCCTGACAATAAAAGGTAGTTCCTTTAACTCTCACTTCCTACATTGAAGAGTCAGTTCAGCCACATTTGAAAGAACTGAGAGCAAAGACGCTGCAGAAGCTGAGAATCATCTCTTTAATTTTGTTCTCTGTACATCCATCTGTACACCAACTGCTAACAGCTAATTCAGCCAGTAAGTTATGTGACATCATTATGTTATACTTCCTGTTTACATAGCTGTCGGCCTTAGAGCAGGGGGCAGACCCTGGGGGGGCCCTGGTGGATCTGATCCTCACGGACGGTTAAAGAGACTCTCACGACAAACACCTGCAGGGTTACAGAGCAGAATCACAGAATCACAGCTCCACTGAAAACCTCTCAGCGATCTCGCTGCCAGCTGCAGAGAACCATTATTTTTATTAGCGATTAATCTGATGATTTCTTTTCATTAAACAATTAATTGTTGCAGCTCTACAGTGAGATTTTTGTTTTATTCAACCAAATGTTAAACGTAAATCTACAACGAGAGCTGCAACGATTCATCTAAATTAATCTGCAGCTATTTTGATAATCGGTTTGACTCTCTGCTCCTCTGTGACAGTAAACTGAATATATTTGGGTTTGAGGACGTCGCCTCAGGCTTTGGGAAACGCTGGTCGACATTTTTCACAATTTTACAAGGTGCAGGGTAAATTTATTGTCACGTTACAAGATGAGATTTGCTTTGTAGTTAGAGAAACTAAACAACTGATCGATTAATTGAGAAAATAATCGACCATGAAAATAATCATTAGTTGCAGGCTCTTTCTACAACTTTATTTCTAGTGCAGTGAAAGGCGAGAGCGGTCAGCCCACCCGGATCCGGTCTACAGGGTACTAAACAACTTTTGTCCCGATCCTGTTCCGTGTTGTCCGTGTTACGTGATTTTGGCGCTGCCTCCTCTGTGTTTTCATTTTGGTGTCTCTGTTTCTGGGTTTCTGGGTTTTGTATCTTCATTGTAGTTCTGTCATCTGTCCCGTTGAGTTTAGTTCACGGTGTGTTTACTTATTGAGTCTGGGTTTTTATTTATCTGGTCTGTCAGCTGGTGTTGAGTGGTGTTTTGGTATTTTCCTTATTTCTGTCCTGTTTCCTGGTCGGTCCTGTCTCGGTTTTCTACCACGGTCTGTGGAACAGTTGGTCCATGTTTCCTGCCTTGTGTTCTCTGTTTAGCCCTGTTTAGTGTTACTTTGTACCTGTCTGTCTTGTATCTTAGGTTTAGTCCTGCATTTGAGTGTCTTTGTATTTACTCCTGGTTATGTGTTTGTGTTATTTTGGGTTTTGTCTGCTCTTGGTTCTGTTTAATCTTGGCTTCAGTCTTTGTTCCTTGTTGGTGTGAGAGTATTTGTGTTCTGTCTGCTCGTGTCTGGATTAGTTTGTTATTTATATTATTCTACTTATTTTGTTATGACCTGTGTTTAGTGTTCAGTTACCTGCCTGTCTCTCTGTGCCTGCCGGCCTCGTTAGCCCTGATCCCGGTCACCTGTGTTGCTCCGCCTGTTCGTCAGTCCCTGGTGTATATATGTTTGGTGTTTCTGTTCAGTCCCCGTCCGGTCACTGTCGTGTTTGGAGCGTTCTGCCTGTCTCTCTGTTAGGACGTTTTACACCCGAACTGCATGTAAAACCTTTGCTCCTTCAGTCAACTCTCCAGTGTCTTGCATTTGGGCTCTGTCCTGCTTTGCGCCCTCAACCCTGACAGCTTTGACCTCTACGCCAAAGAGCCAGACTCAACCGTAGTGACGGGACTCAGTCACAGCTAGAATATATAAAATTTCCCAGGTGTCCAAGGTGGCGTCTTCAGATGTCTTACAGTCCAGAACTCAAAGATCACCTGTTGAAAATCTCACTTGTTTTTGTCATTTGCTTAAAAATCCCTAAAACAATTATTGGATTGTCAAAACGGTTCCTTTAATTACTTAATGTGATTAATCTGTGCAGCTCCAGATTGATCATGATGGTGTTAAATGAGCTCTTGGTGTGTCAGCTCAGATGTGTAGTGTGTGCGGCGTGTCAGCAGGGGGCAGTGTGACATCAGCTGAACACGTCACTGCTCTGTGTCTGATGAAGCGATGTGATGGTGTGTCAGGAAGCGTTCCGGCCTCATGGAGGCGCTAGAGTTACTGCCCACACACTGCTGCCAGAAATAACTTTTTAAATCAGTGGAGTCGTGCAGGGAGTGAATTGTGACCTCAGCAGGATTGTTCTGGAAACTTCTGTCGCTGTGTCTCAATGCGAGCAGACTAACATGCAGTACGCTGCATTCCTACTTTCTTAGTGCGTTGATTTTGATAAGTAGTGTTGTCTCAAATCAAACACTGCTGTTGTGCACTAACAGGAAATGACCATCACAGGATTGTGCAATACCCCCCCCCCCCGTCAGGCACAGGCCGCCTGCACAGCTCCAAAATAACAGCAGAATCCAGTTTAGTGCCAAGTTCAAACTTACAAGTAATGTCATTTGGTAAATTGGTGCATAAGTAAGAATTATCTAAAATAAAAGCAATAGAAAGCAAGTGTTGTAACTAACGATGTGTGATATTATAAGAAATAAAGTAACGACACTCCCCTTTTCATACTATTTGTTTTTTATTGATTTTGTTTTACAAGCCAAGAATTGTCCGTACATCACGAGCCAGATGTCTTCATTTGATTTAAATTACTGTAACGGAATGACAGCAGTGAAACTGGCTTTCAGCTGCTGCTGGACTCGTCTGCAGCTGCGTTCTGGACTGACGGGAGGCCGCAGCCAGACCCGACTCTCTGACCTGGCTGCGGCGGTCTGTGTGACTGTCGGAACAGAGGGCTGGCCGGCCTCGCTAGCTCCTCCCACGGGTTGGCGCGAGCTCCTCAACTCCGAAAACGTTCAAGCTGTCAATAGTCAACGTCTACACATTTGATTTCTCGCCTCAAAACTTCTCAGAAGTGGATTTAGTGATGAAATAAAGTACGAAACCTGTAAAAGCCGTTCTGTTGTCGGCCTCTCTCTCTGCTGCTTCCCGCTTCTCCCGTGCTGTTGGTCTAAACTAAAATGGCGGTCGTTGAGGGTGAGAAGTGTCCACCGTTCTGCTGCCGTAATTCTCAGCGTGAGCACACTTACGCACTCAAAGTAGTGTAAGTGTGTGAACTGAGACACAGCAGAAGACGACGCACAGATCTGGCACTTAGTGAACGGCACTTGTGACCCTTAGTGGATCACACGGTTTTTAAATAAAGAATTATTGCATCATTACAAAGACAAACCTTATCTGCTGTCTCAGATGATTTTCTGCTTTTCTTTGTTTCAGGGCTGCAACTGACGAGTCTTTTTGTTATTGATTAACTTGTGTTGTGACTTTGCTCAAAAGGGAGACGCAACATGCTAAAAGTTGAACAAAATATGTTTATTTAAACCAAAATTAACCAAGTTAAGAGGTATTTCACACTAATATAATCAGAGTATGAGGCACGTAGTCTGTGGTTTCAGTAGTGTCTGTGCAGGATGATGGTTGCATGAGTGTATGCGTGCGTGAAGGAGTTGTAGTTGGCAAAAACAAGATAAATACCACAAAGCAAGAGTCCAAAACCAAACTAAAGGAGAAACCGGGGAGCCGGCCGCAGGGAGGAGTGACCGGGCCTCAGAATGACAGGACAAGGTTACGCAGGGCCCAGGGGGAGAGAGAGAGAGAGAGGCCACACCCACTCCTGACCCCACAGGGCGTCACAGCTGCCCCTAACTTTCTTAATTAATTGATTAAAGTTTCCTCTATAAAATATCAGAAAATAGTGAAACTTGTCAGAAGAGTCCAGGTCACATCAGTCCAGAACCAAAGAGGTTCAGGTTATTATCCAGGGCTGTAACGCTTCAGAAACTGAGAGCGAAACCGCAACACAAACGTCGGCGGTCTCGTGTCGCCGTTCCAAAGGACACGACCGTCTGTATTAAAACGACTGAACGTACACATCATGTGACCGGTGAACAGGAAGCAGATAAAATATTCTAATAAAAACACCAAAACTAAAACTCTGTCAGCAGCATCGTGTTTCTGATGACATTTCTCTTCTAATGTCATAAAACATGACAGGGTGTTCCTGCGTTTTATGCTGTTTTATTATTATTATTATTATTATTATTATTATTATTATTATAAGGGGAGAGCGGGGTGATTTGAGCCTGTGGGGAAGTTGAGCCACACCTTGTTTGACCACACATTTTTGAAGAGTCATCCATCCGAGTCATCTCTCCATCACCCTGTGATGATGGACTTTCCCCTCATGAGGGGCAAGTTGAGCCAAGAGTCAACTTTTTTTTTTGGAAAGCCATGTTTAGAAAACAGTTTATTTTAGATCCAAACTGATTCTTCCCACAGGACGGCCATGTCCTCGCTTTAAAGACACTCCAAGTAAAAACTGGCTCAACTCACCCCGCTGTATAAGTGGCATAAAATGGCCTTAAAATTACTAAAAATATTGTTTATCATGATTATTTCTGTATGTATTATAGCTTCAGGTATGGCTCGGTATCGGTACTCGATCCGATCTGAAATAACACAGTACCGAGTAGTATCGAAACCTCTCCGGTCAAACGAGTACTGCATTCAACCCTGTTTGTAACCAGATCGGGGGGGAAATGGCTATGTGTTTGGTTTTGCTTGCAGACAAACTCTTGTTTGGGGCGCCGCCCGTCCGCCTCAGCTCCAGCTGCGGTCTCAGGCAGGTTTATCACTGTTGCAAGTTTATCACCACAAGCTTGTGTTTCCGCTGGTTTCATCTTGTGATATGCTTTAACTCTACTCTCTGCATCTTTATTTGAAATTCACTTGTCACTGATCGATCGCTGCGTTCCATCGCATCAGTTCAACGCTTCTGTGGCGCAGCCGCTGATTTTCGTCCCGGAGCGTCCGGCTGCTTCATATGTTGTTGGTGTGATCAGCTGGATGTGCAGCTTTCTTCTCTCTTTGTTTCTTTATTGTAGTTTACTTGTTAAACTCCGTTCTTATTTTCTGCTTGTCGTCTTTGTGGAGGTTTGCGACTCATCACTAAAGGAAAAAGCGCTCGCAGAGATCTTTCAGTTACATTCTTCAGGATTTACTAATCAACAAATCAATAACTTAAATTCCTTTTCGCAGAAGTCACACTGATCACTGAACTCTTTCACTCCTCCTCTCTTATTTAGATATAGAAAAAGCTCCCGAGCTGATGATGAAGAGAGAACAGATCAACTTGCTTGTCTTTAACCACAATAAAAATAATAATATAATGTACTGCGGCCTCAGCAGGGGGCATTTTACTCAAGCTATGATAAAGTCCTCTTGTGGTCTCAGTGTCACTTTAAGGTTACCGGTTCACTCGACACCAACTGTTTCTGTTTCATTTCTCTCTCTCTCTTTTCTGTTTCTCTGAGTTTCGTTTCTCTCCCTGTCCTGCTGCCAAAGATCCACTTAGTTCCTGTTCCAGAGTTCATCCAGGTTCGTCGCTGAGAGGCTGAAACAGAAACAGAAAGCCTCAGTGTGCCCCCCCCCCCCCCCCCAGCACACAGTTCACACATTAACAAAACTTTCCATGTGAACTGTGTGTGCGCGCTTCCCTCTGGTGTTGTCACTTTCCTGTTGATCACGCCGCATGCAGGAGGAGGAGGAGGTTAGGGTGGGGTGGTGCATGGGGGGGGAGGAGGGATGGTGGGTGGAGCGGGTGAGGTGGGGGTGTGTCCGAGGAGCCCCTCCCTGAGTTCCTGCCCTGCCTGAAGGGAAAGCTGAGCTCACTTCACACTGAGAGCCACACTGAGAGCAGCTGTTCAGCTCGTCACCTTCATCTCTAATCAATTCATCTTCACCTCCATCCTCCTCACCCGCCCTCCTCATGGCTGCCGCCTCCAGGTCCTCCCAGACGGCGAAGAACGTGGTGATCGCCCTGCTGACGCTCTGGTCCATCATCTCGCTCATCATCATCGTGGTGTGGGCGACGTCTCCGGACCTGAAGAGCTCTGCTAAATGCCGCGCCGAGCTGCAGGAGGTGACAGAGAAGATGGAGGGGGCCAAGGTGGTGTGGAACAAGAACAAGGTGGCCCTGGAGGAGATGGTGGAGGCGGGGAGGGAGGTGCAAGACCGCCAGGGAGCCCAGATCCTGCTGCTGCTGGATCGCCTCAACGCCACCAACGCCACACTGGAGAAGTGCCGGCAGAAAAACGTGAGTTGGAGGTTTATCTACCTTCCAATGCTTTCAACAACAGTTTTCTTAAGAAACAAATGCATCAGAATCTCGTAAATCTAAAAGGTGACACTTCTAGAAAACTCCTGTAACCTGCATTTAGTCTGGGGGGGGTTCAGTTGAAGGTTAAATATATAAATATTAAGATGAAAGTCCTGTTAAATCTTCTTTTCTGCATGTTTCTCCTGCTGTCTGTGTGTCAGGGGTCAGAGATGAAGCTTAAATCAACACAAATATTCTTCTGATATCAGATGTATAAAATTTCCACATTCATTTCCACGAGGAGCGTGACCACACACGTTCACTTCTGTTGTGATGTGACCCGCCCCCTTTGAGCACAGATCAATCTGATTGGTCTCTGAAATACAAAAATCTCAAACCTCATCCAGGAGATACTGTTTTATTATTTCACCTGCAGTTAGAAAACAAGATGCTGACTGGCTGCAGTGAGTTAACCTACAACCTCGCACAGTGCACGCAACCCTGAAAAGAATAAGTAGGTTTAGAAAACAAGCTAGCATGAAATAAAATTTAAAGAGTTCAGGGTTCCAATATTTTACTGTGTCACTGTTTCTGTGTAGAAAAGCTTCATGGTTAAATGTTATTAATGGAAGTATGAATTAAAACTGTGTAAACAGTTTGAGTGGAAACACGAGGCGACACTCGATGACTGGAGACAGGTGTTAGCTTAGCTTAGCATAAGGACTGGAAGCAGAGGGAAACAAGAATCAGAACAACAGGTGAACACGTTTCTGTTTAATGGTAACACGGGCGAACTTCACGTCCTCGAAGCTGGTCGACTGCCAAGCGTCCCAAAACCGCACATACGAGCAACAGACGTAGCAGCTCTTTAGTCACATGACGTTAAAACGCTGTGAAGCGGTGGCAGTTTGGTCAGGTTTAAGAAAAGATAGTGGTTGGTTGTCCGTACATCACGAGGTAGCCCACAAACCGTTGGTTTGTGGGCTACCATTTTAAAGCCTCCAGTTTGGCATTTTGGCCGTCACCATCTTGTTTTTTTTGGGACCAGAAGTGACAATATTAGCTAACTTGGTTAGCGAGGTCCATCTGTAGTTCACATTAGCTGTGATATTAGCTGGGATGCTAATTTTAGCTAGCGACAAACAGGCTTCAAACTAAACGTACTTACTGAAAAATGAGCAGCCGACTCATGATGAGGTTTTTCAGCGGCGCTGGTTAAATGTACACAGAGCAGCGGATACGAGTCGCCTCTATCCTGATTGACAGGTCGCCATGGTAGCAACCTGTCAGTTAGCCTGTAGCCCCGCCCTAAAGCCTCCCCTGCTTCCTGGTCTCTGTTCCTCTAAATGCCCATTTATACTCCTGCGTAGGGTCTACGTGCGTACCTACGCCATAGGCTGCGCACGTAGCCGTGCATTTATACTTGTGCCTCCGTGTGTTCGTCTTTCTGCAATAACACCCCCAAACACTAGTCTGCAGTAGCGCTGCAGCGTCCACTGTCTTGACTTTTGCCGGCCGAGCAGGCTAACTTCCATTTTAGCGCTCCGCTAACATGAATGGGGGTAAAACTGAAAACATGCGGCTGGTGTAGCGTTTTCAAATGTTACTGAGCGAATGGATCACATTCTGATAGTGAAACGAGTCATTTCGCTCGGGTTGCGACGGTCAAATATATTGATTCACTGTGTTACAGCCGCCGTTTTGGCCGCTAGTAAAAGTTACTTCAAAGCGCGGGGTACTTTTGGTCGGCTCGGAGGCATTGCAAGGCTACCCAGCTGACCAATCACAGAGCTGACGGTCTGCGTCGACTCAACGTGTAGTTACATTTTTGAGGAGGTGCACGTCAGGCGACGCCGTAGCCTCTGCGTAGCCCCGTAGCCTACGCCATCACCTACGCCGTCGATTTGACGCAGAAGTATAAATTGCACTTAAATGGGACCATAATTTACTAAATGAACATCATGCTGTGTTGAAGAAGACTTGAAACTAGCGACTGAGACCAGAAACTCATCAGGAAAGTGTTTACTGAGGGAATAAATCAGCTGACAAGTAGAAACAGTTTCTTTCTGCAGCCGCTGGAGTCGCCCCCTGCTGGCTGCTGGAGAGGACGCAGGTTTAAGGAGCTTCACTTTCAGACCCTGGAGGTTCTGCTCTACCAGCTTAACTATTGATTTTATTTAACCGAAACGTTTAAGGCAGCCTGGTCACACAGACGCTCGTGCAGAAACGGCTTAATGCAGCAGAGTGACACAGGATCAGCAGATACTGGTACTGATGCGTGAAGACGATGAGACCGAGTGTCTCCCGTTCAGCTCGGTACCAGACTGATACTGGAAATAGCCTCTTTTTCAGTGCGACTGCCAGAACTCAGACGGGAGCCGCCCCACCCACCTCACCAAAACACTAACAGCTTCCATGTGTCTGCGGCAAAACGAGAAACTCACAGAGATCAATAAATAACCGAACTTCTAAACCGAGAAGAGAAACTGAGGAGTTCAGCTTGATGTAGAAACATTCTCAATAACAACATGCCATCTGAACAGAGGCTGCTTTTTATTTTCCCTCCTGTAAAGACTTTGAACAGTTTTCCCTCCCGGCAGGCTGACTGTTCAAACTGTGGACACTTTAGTTGCTTCCAACATTTCCAGCTTCGTATTCTCCGAGTTGTTGGTTGGAAAAAGTGAGTGTTTTCCCTCCTCCTCCTGACTCATTCCTCCTCTCCCTCCTTCACCTCTGCTCCACTCCTCCCTCTCTGCTCCTCAGTCTTACTTCGGCCTGCTGACTCTTTCTTTCTGCCCGTCCTGTGAAAGTATTCAGGACACATTTGAAGGGAAACTCGCGTCATTACGGTGGATTGTGGACACTCTTCATCACTTTTAGTAGCACGAACATGTACATTAAGAGTTACTTGGAAAAACATCCAGCGGTGGACAAAGTACACAAACCCTGTACTTGAGTCACATTACAAATACCCTTGCTAAATATTACTGCACTAAAAGTACAAGTCTTCTATTTAAATTTCTACTTGAGTCAAAGTACAAAAGTATGAAAAGAAGTACTGATAGTACGGTTCTGTCTCAGGGTGTTGCTGACATTGACAACACTGTTAGTATTATTCCTCCTGCAGTAATGTAAAGCAGGATGTTGCTGTTGTAGTTGTTGATCTCATTTTAACTGTTTAGTATCAAACTGCAGCTGAGGATTATTTTCTGATTAGTTTCTCCATTAATCAATTGATTGATTGTTAAAACTGTAAAATAGTCAGAAATGCAGTCACAGTTAGAGCCCAAAGTGACACCTTCATAATAAAGGTTTTATCTAACCAGCAGAACAAACATCATTACAAATAAATTAAAAGAATTAATTAAGGAAAAGCAGCAAATCTTCACGTGTGTGAAGCTGAACTATTAAATCTCAAACTAATAATCCTGTCAGCTGTACGTCTATAAACTGTCAGAGTTTTATTCATTTATTAACCCTTCATGTGTTTTGTGTGTAAAAATCTGACTTGAAAAGCTGTCAGATAAATGAAGTGAAGTAAAAAGTCCAACATCTCCCTCTGAGATGGAGCAGAAGGAGAAAGTGGCATGAAAAGAAAATACTCAAGTAAAGTACAAGTACCTCTAATCTGTATTAAAGTACACTACTTGAGTAGATGTACTGTCCGGCTCTTATCGGCACAGACAGAAAATACTGCACCATGTACAGTTCATGTGTCCCAGTGAGTTCCCTCTGCAGAAGACTTGAATAAATGCAAAGAGAGACGAGTGTTTATTCCAACAGAAATGTTCTGCATTATGAAAGCAGGATTCCTCAGCTCGCCCTGCTCGTGAGCCAAAAGCAGCGCTCTATCTGCATTTAGCGTTCAGTCGACGCCCACGGCCATCTTCCCTGGAGGACGGTGTTTTCCTGATGTGTTTGAAACTGAAGATAAAACAACTTGTGGAAGATAAACTTTGTTGTTGCCACTTCAGTTTGTCTGAAGGTCAGATTGAAGCTGCACTACCTGATGTTTGCTCTGGGAGTGAACCAGCACAGGAAAGCTGCAGCCGGACAGATGAACCGCGAGCTGAAAGAAGCTAAAAAGCTCCTACGGCTGCAGATTCAGCTGATGGTTCACTGCCACAGACGCTGCTGCTGTAAGAATATCCATCCTGGCTTCAGATTCAGATTCGTTCTTTATTGAAATTTGCTTTCACAGTCTGTACAAAGAGCGCCTTCATTATGAATTCTACACACAAACTACGCATAGTAGACATATATGGACAATATACACATGACACAAATGGCTTCTGTTAGCTCTTTGTTTTATCAGACAGTTTGAAACAGAGCGGCTGGTTTCTGGTCTCTCGGCTCCGGGGTGGGATGTTGGTGAAGCTGACTGAACTGGTTTTGAACCAGGCGCTGGTACGACCTCCACAGCCAATCAGGAGAGAGGATTTTAAAACAAAACTACAAGCAGGATGCACAGTTTTCTGCAGGCGACCCGCACTGTAAATATGATGCATTCACATCAACTGCATGTTAGTTCGAATTTGACTTTTTGAAAACCCGACAGCCCAACAGCTGATTTCTTTGATCAACATGACTGACGTCAACAGGAAACAGCTGAAGAAAGAGAGGTCTGTTATCAGGCAGCTAACTGCTCGTCCTGTTAGCTTCATGCTAAGTTTGTCAGTTTCACAGCGGAGCAGCTTCGACTTGTTGTGAGGAAGTTCCTTCACATAAACTCAGGAGACGCTCAGGAAAGTACCAAAGATACCAAAGTTAGATTTCTTCTCCTGACAGCTTCCTGTCTTCAGCGGTTAGAAAAACACCCTGATATCATTTAGCCCCTTCAGGTGGAGACTCGTGATCTGCTGACTGAACCCTGAATGAACCCACCTGACCTCAGACATGACGCAGCGCTGATCTCTGACCTTCTGTCGATCGATCGCTGTGATCACAGCTCAGTTCAGCTGCAGCAGCTCTCGGCTGCGAAACCTCTGAACCACGTG